CTGGCAATAACACATCCTTATCTAATCTGTGAAAGCTTTTACAATGGCTGCACTGAACACCATCTGCTTAGTGTGATTTTCCAAGGAAAAAACAAATCAATAAAATCACTGGTATATGGGACAACTCTCCTGATTGTGTGTCAAATCTAAAACAAAGGAAGTCAAATGCCATCGCAGTCCCGGCCGCACTGTCTGATGTGATCTCTGAAGTGCAAAAACACCACCCCCAATAATGGAGCCAACAAATACAGACAGCTGGTTACCATTACCACCATCTGATGAGCTCAAACATCTCCTGTTTCAACTGCCAAAGTGATGGAAGAAATGCTATAAACTGATTTAAATCAAAGAAGGAAGAAGAAAGAAAGCAAAGAGCTTGAGGCTAAATTCATTTTGGCCAAACACAACCACTAAAGAACAGTTCACACATCTTCAGCTTTGGAGTGTGTATAAGTGTTTGATGAATCAAAACTCCTTTCCTGATTGGTATACTTGGTGTATTTGCACATTTTCCAGCACCAAATAAATGTGACTGAGAAGACGAAATGCATTCGGTCATTAGAAAAAACCTGCCATGCTGCCTGTGCGCACATAGCAGAAAAGACAGCTTGGTGCCAGGGCTCTGCTAGTATTGTTCAAGCTTTACGAGTGTGTACATGCACAGTGAGGAGTGCCGTTTCATTACAGGGCCATATGAACTTATCTGTAAATATCACTCACCAATCTTCAGTTTTAGTTTGCATTCAGCAGGTAAGATAAACAGACTTAAGAAGAAAATGCTTCTGTTTTGGCTCAGCACCAGAGGAGTTTTCATCTTCTACTACAAATTTCAATATTATTAAAGAAGCATGGAAATATTGTTTCAGAAACTATGGGTGAAAGAGCAGCATTTATTATTTGAAACTGAAAGAGGTGATGCACATGAGCAGACTTATTACATATACTGTACATATTTGTTGTTCTGAGTGACATCAACTAACAGCTAGTACATGGATTACCATGAAACTTTGTACAGACAAACTTTGGTGATCACTGAATCTGTTCATATAGCGCCATCATCAGGTCAGATTTGGACTTTGTTTAATACTTTAGCTCAGTGGTTCCCAAACTGGAGGGCGGGCCAACGGGTAAATATAACTGACATATATGGTGGTGGGGGTCGGGAAGAGGCCCATCAGTAAAAGTTTGGGAACCACAGCTTTGGTTTGTGATTAAATACCTGCAAAACTAAAGAGACTCAAAGCCCAAGTTCTACTTTGTGTTCATTATTTTATAAGTAAAAGCTACATACTAAGATGGTGAACAGGGTAAACATGAATCCTGCTAAACATAAGATGTTGGTGTTAAAACCTTTAGCTCAAAGCAGTATAACCTCTATAACCACTATCAATCTCAAAGAGCAATCAGTGTGAACAGTAACAAAAAAAGTAGAACATGATTCAGTTGCTTGTATCTTCACGCACCAGTGAGCAGTGATCTCAGGCTGGAACATTAGCACCTGTCCAGGTGACCGTGAGATGATTTGTATGGATTAATAAACCTATCAGCCTCCCAGTGATGATTACTTTGTTCAAGGAGTCACAGAAAATCTTTTACTTTGAAGCTAATATTTTTACTATTAGAGACACCAAGGGCTAAAGGGAAGCAGAGAAGACTGTTGCTCTGTCTACATGTTTGGACAGAGTGACGCATCACCTGCATGGCTGCAGTGCGTGCAGCTGGCTGCCTTCACAGTCTTATGAATCTTCTCTGTATTTGTATGTACAACTTTATGTGTCTTAGCATGATCTTCATCTGTCAAAACCCTTGAATATATACTTTTGTTTGACAGGCCTCAGAACAAAACACCAAAAAACGGAGTGTATACAGAATATAAGCATAATGATAATCACGTTTATTGGCCAACTATGTTACACACAAAGAACTTGTTTCCGGTACAGAACCGAGGCAACTCAACTGATGGCTCTAACCATCAGGGGGGTTCAGTATCTTGCACCAGGACACTTCAACATGTGGACTGCAGGCACCAAGATTCAAACCTTCAACCTTCTGGTTGGGAGACGACTGCTCTACCCACCGCACCACTATACCCCCATGTGCTACTGACAGGAGCCCAACACTGCACTGATACCTCTGGACTTTGGAGGGCCGTACTTGTAGACCATTAGTCGGCTCTGGTCTCCCTGAGGAGCCCGAACCTGAACATGTAGGTTGTTCAAAAGGTCAATGAGATGCTGTTCACACCATCACATTCCTCAGGTGGTCCACTACATTTACTCAGACACTCACACACCTACAGACTACATCTCGTGTTACTACTCCTGTGTGAACAATTGTAGTTTATTTCAGTAGTACTCACTCACTCTGGGTAAAATAATGAGCGTGTGGATTAATAGCTTCCTTTCAATAACAGCTCTGTGGATGTGGTCCAGAAACCTCAGAGAGGGAATGAAAAAGCTGCATGTACCGTCGACTGAGCAGGGCTTCTGTGTTGGTATAAACATGTTCACTGATTGGTCAGAATAAGCTCCAGCTCCATAATGTCTTAGGATGTCGGCAACATTATGATGGAAAATGGTGACATCAGCCTACATGGTTTTTCCACTGGGAGTCAAATGAAATTGCTTCTGTCACTCAGTACAAGTCTCAAAGGATCTGCACTGTCACCGTGCAAGAGAATCAGATTTCATGTACTACACATTACCTCTTAATCCCAGGTCTCTTATTTTATGGTTCCCTGGTCCTTGATCGACCCAGAGGTCGTTCCGGTCTCCATGATGAAGGGTATCCTAAAGCTTTTAATTCTGCTCTTAAGAGTGAGGAGGCTGCCTGGAGGAGGTATAACCAAGGATGCATGAGTGCATCTTACGTGAGTGGGACTACTACAAAAAGAAACATGGACACAGTTAGGGGAATTGGGATTCACCTCACATATATACTGAAGAAACACATATTTGAAGGACTGTAAAGTTGACATGATGTCTCAAAAGCTGTGTTCTTAAAGAAGCTCATTGCAATCTGATGGAACACTGAATAATCTCTGACCTGCTCTGTATTAAAAAAAAGACCTTTGCAAAAAAGGTGCTACTATCACATGATAAGGCTGTAGAAAAGGACTGATTCACTGAACTGCTGGAGCAACTGCCAGCTTTAAATTAATGCCTGTCTTGTGAAGGGCATCTTATAGAAGATAATAAAACTTCTTGTTATTGTAGGTATGTTGGTCCTTAAGGTCAGAGGAAGCAGAATTACAGCACCTTGACAGACTTACTATGACATACAGTATTTCTGTCTAACACCAGTTGCACACTCTAAATAATTCTACAAATAATGACTTGGAGGGCCAGACCATATTTAATTCTTCAGGAGTGATGAAATCATCCCTCTTGAGATTAAGATGAATGTCTAAAGTCGACATCCGGTCACTATTTACATAAACGACATAACTGTTGTAGGTGACCTCTTCCTCACAGTCAGATCTCTTTGAGAAAGGAACTGGAAGATTACAGAGCAAAACACGGAATTACACTGCCACAGAGATACAGCACTACAGTAAATAGTCAGGTGGTCACAGAAATCTGAGTGCTGACATCCACATCTCTAAAATCTGCACAGAAGCTACAGTAGGTGCAAGTGACTGTCGGCAGAACTGGTCTCTGATGACTATGCTAGTGTTTTTGCATGTTGTAGCTAAATGTATGGCCTGTGACTAGTTATTATATGCCAGACAAATAGTCTCAATAACAGTGTGTTGCATGATCTGCAAATAAAAACTGTGTGTTAAAATTTGTGTGTGCTCAGTGGTGTCATGTACATACAGATACCTAGCACTGTGAACAAATGTAAAACAATTTTACAAACATAACCAGCATATGTTCAAAGAACTGGGCATCTATCTACATTATTTATATACACACTACAAACTTCTTTTTTTCTGGAGTGCACATGCTTTGTCTGTTTACTGAGACTACAGTATTTCTTTGGAAGAAAAATAAATGTGTAAGCTTTCTATGAAAAATGCTGCAGTGCTACATTCATTACAAAGTACAGATAAGATCATCCGATGCACACACAGGGACAGAGGATGGGAAAACTCAATATGAAATAGGCCACCACAGAGTACATGCTAAAATATAATGCCATTATCTGTATGAAACATGTTCATTTTTAGAAATGGTAATAGGTTGGGAGAGTAATGAGTCCAGATCATGCACTCGAAAGCGAGTGCATTTACAGAGACGAAGTCTTCTCCAACACACCCAAGAAACAAATGATCTGTGTCACCAGGCCCCATTTGACCCTGCTGATGGTAATTACTGTAAACATGACAGATGAAGGGCGAGGGCTCCTGTGGGGTTCTGTGAGATTACTACAGAAACTGGGAAAAACTGAAGAGCAGGTCATGGTTTAAGCTGATGAAAAACTCTGGTAATGTGTTATTTACCAAGAAGAAGATTAGATTGAAGATTAGAAACAAGTTCAGATTCTGAGAATAAAAAGACCATATTTTGAGAAAAAATATTGTATATACAATATAATAATAACTGTATAACAACCAGGATGACATGATGACACCAGATGAAACTATTTGCTGTTATGACACATGCTCCATGTTGGCTCGTATTTTATTGTATTATAACAACTGCATTCTCTAAACATCTTCCTTTTTTAACAGCTATTTTTTTTTTCATAAAAATGTTGCTTCATTGTCATCTTTTTCAAACAATTATGACAGTTTAGTCAGAATATTTTTGAAGTTACAAGAATTGACTTAACTACTGTTTGTGTGTGCTCAGTAGTGTGAATAATAGCAACAAACGCACCCTTTTGACTCTAAAACATCAACAAAAACAAACACGTGGCCTGAGTATGGAACATGAGCTATTATGGGTTATCACACATCACCTGAGGTATCTGGATCCCTTTGCTTTCTTCTCAGTACAGCTTCATGGCTAACAACCCGAGGCCCCACCCTGAGTAAAATGATACGGAGAACTTACTTGAGTACATGTGTGGAGCCGTTGATCTGTGTGGCTGTGCATGGAGCGTTGGAGCCCAGGATGGACGGCCTGCGGTACCTCTTCCTCCCACAACACAGGATGATGAGGAAGGCACGGCGGAAGGACTTGTTGAGGAAGGCATAGAGGATGGGGTTCAGCATGGAGTTGATGTAGCCCAGCCACAGGCAGGCCGCCCACAGCTTGTCGGGCACTGTGTAGTCTATAAAGGGGTCCACCACGTTGGTGACAAAGAACGGTGCCCAGCAGAGGCAGAAACACCCCATAATGATGCACAGAGTCTTGGCTGCCTTAGTTTCTGTTCGCATACGATGGTTTCGTTGATGGTCGGCAGAGTCCGATGTTGTTCCAGCACCGACTCCTGCACCTGAGGTACCCGGTGCACTAGTCCCCGCCCCTCCGGCCCGCTGCAGCATGCTGATCTGCAGGGCGTGTGCACGGGCTGTGACGTAGATCCTCTGGTAGGCCAGCACCATGAGGACCAGGGGGATGTAGAAGGCCACCACAGAGCAGGTGAGGGCGTATGGCTTGTTGACCATGAAGACACAGGATGTGGAGTTACTATTTCCACTGTGGCGCCTCTCCTCAATCTGGTAAGAGAAGACACATCAGAGAGGACAATTAGAGTAGTAGGTCAAGGTTCGGAGACAGTGCTGTTGTGTTTTATCATAGTGTACGTAGCTTGAAAACAGCAGTGATGAGGAGACTTAAGAGTGAAACTGATTCTGTTGATTTTACTGGAGTCCATGCAGGAAGTGTTGAGATCAACTGACTGCTGGAAATGTAGGACGGCATCTTGACACATGCCCTGAAATACAAGTATTCTGGACCAAAATTCATGCTTATATTGAAAATGAGACTGGTCCATGATTTGACTTTTGTGCTTTATGTTTTCAGAGACTCTGAGGCTCTGTCCAGATATAAAGCACTTAAAGAGAGGACAACGACGGTGATAATATCTGGTCCAAAAACTCTCCTGAGAAACTGGAGGCCTCTGGGAATTCCTCCATTTGAGGAACGGGTGGTTGAGATGGTGCAGGCACATGAAAAAGTGTTAAGTCAATAATGTACAAAGGCACTTGACCAAATGGAGCAGATAAATTGAACTCTTTAAGATTTATTTACCAGCACAATGGGTTACGTGTCCTGGATGATCTGAATATCTGTACTGATCCAGCTGCTTTGGTTTGTTTTTCATAAAAAACTAATAACAAATACAAGTTGAAACAAAACATCTATGGTGGTAGACTTTTTTTTTCATTATACTTTATTAATCCTGGTGGGGAAATTTGTTACTGATTATTATGTAATATAGACATTTTACTTCATTATTCCAAGACTAAAAGTCTATAACTATTGGCTGAGTGAGGCTGTAATGATCCTTCTTTCATATCCTTACTGCTAGCAGTGCTAAAAATGAAAAAATACTTGTTGTGGCCTAAATCACCAGGATTTAGCCTCTGCACAGTGGCTATGTTAGGATGTCTCATGGTCTCATAGTTTGTCAGGCTCAGCTGTATGTTGGCCCAAGTGAAACCATTAACACTCTACCATTAGCCAGGACTGACAGAGCAGAGCTGAGTCTGAAATATTCCAGCATCACCACTGCTCACTTTACTCTGTACTCTGGAAATATATCCTGTCATACACAGTTTATGCTGATCCAACCACAGTTTTTGGAACTTGTAATTTTACTGTGAACAAGTTTGGGGCAGAAACCAGAAGAAACTATTCAAACAGTCTGCAACTAATATATAATATGTCAGTTAGCTAATGAGGTTGTTTTAATGCAGCACAAAGTAAGGGTATGGACGCCAGGGTGGTTGGTGGCCCCACAACCTCGAACGCAGGAGGATTTACATCCTTCTTTGACAAACCAGTGTTCATTCCTGTTTGTTTCTGTATAACCACACTATAACAGGGGTGAAAATTCTGAAAATGTTCAAATATTTTCTCTTTTTCTTTTCCTCACTAAAACTTTGTTAGAGGATTTGCTGGACTGGTGGACCGACCTACTGACAAACACCCCTCCTGAACACCTCACTGGTAGCTTGACTGAAATCTGGTTTAACTTATAAAAACTTAAATTCCACTGAGGTATCAGCTACGACAAGGAGCGAGTCCACAGGCTTCCTTCTGCAACATCCTTATCTGCTCTGGGGATTTATCAAATGTCTCAGACTTTGATGAAATTAAATAAAAATGCTATCACCCTTAAACAGATTAGAATCACAGTCATGCACGCACACGTGTCAGTATATGTAAAAGGTGGAGTTTTAAAAACAATCTGTAAAAAGAAGTCTTGTGGTAACCAGTAGAGCTGAACTGGTGAACAGCTCTGACCCACTGTGTATGAGACACCACTGAAAGTCCCACACTCTCCTCAGCCGAGTCTGAGTCTCTGTAGAAGAAAGGGAACACAGATCTTGAGGGAGAGGGCGGCTCTGCAGTCGCCATTAATCAAAGTGAAGAACCATCCTGGTTTCTCCTCTCTGTGGGAAACTATGGCTCCGGACTGTGAGATAAGTAATACAGAGATCAATCCTTAACACTGTTTGAAAGAAACACTGCCTCGGGTGTAAAACCAAAGCAGTTTTTATGAATGGGCTGACATGTTTAAGTTCAATGCGCTCACTGTTTAGACATGAAGCTTCCCAAACTGCTGCTTGAATGAATTAAATACTAAAAGTCCAGACTAGTAGTTACCTATATGCTTCATGCAGGCAAAGCTGACTGAGCTCTTTATAATCCAAGTTGTTGGAGTTTTACTCTGGACAGGTGTTGGGCACACAGCAGATGAGCACAGTCTGTGACTAATACGGAGTATATCATTAGGTGAAAGATTTATTTAACACAATAAAAAGTGATAGGTGGGCCAACAACCAAACAGGAGGAGGGATTAACATCCTAGGGCACATTGAAACTCATTGTTCTCTGGCCATTAAAGACACCATAACATAATTTGGCAATCACCTATGGAAAATATTATGTATATTTTTTCAGACCTGTTTGAAGCTCCACAGTCTGTACAAGCTGTAAATGATACCTTCTTTATTTCCCTTTAAAGTCACTTGGCTGCTAATTAAGTGAGCATGTTGATACACATAAAAGCTGTAAGACTGAAGCCTTTACATCCAGGTCCTGAACCTTCCCTCAAATGTGCTGTAAGCA